AAAAAAACAGAAATCTGAGATTAAAGTTAGAATTCAGAGAAAAAAAGTAATAATTCTGAGATTAAAGTCATAATTCTGAGGTTAAAGTCAGAATTCAGAGAAAAAAGTCATAATTCTGAGATTAAAGTCAGAGTTTTGACTTTTTCCCCTATATTAAACTGAAATAATATTTAATAATCAGTTAACTTTTTTTTTTCTTTTCAGTGGCCCTAATCCTATTCGGTAGTTTAAAATGTGAAAGCAATTAAGCAAAAACATGCACTGAAAAAGGATGGAGAATAAATGTCCAATACAACCTTTAAGGATTTCAGAAGAATATAATAGAATAATCCTTTATTGTTTTTATAGCTGGTAAAGTACTGTAGTTTATAAACTTTTAAGAATAGGAGATAGTTAAATCTCCCTATCAAAAACAATAATAATTCTGAATAGGTTATAATATTTGGCAGAGTGAGAAGCTTTTAAATCGATCAGTGTACTGGCCCTTTAAATGTCAGGCTATTCGGCTGCTCGTCCACGTAGCGCCACGTCTGCGCGCATGCGCATGAGACTCATTTGTGTTCCGGGGCTCGGTCACTGTGTTGGAAATTACACCAGAGCTCCTCTGTTTTTATAGTCACTTTACTTAGATAATACCGAGCTGTTTATTGGCACAAATAGACGCTTTTGATATTTTATATTGAAGATGAATTTCTTCAGAGGAGTGATGGGAGGGCAGGCTACCGGGCCCCAACCGTCAGGAGCGGAGACGGTAGGAATGCTAACAAATTAGCTTCTTTTTTATCTTTGGTTTAGACTTTTCACTTAAAGTCAGGCCGGTGATGAATACTCTCTGTCTTTCACCTTTTAATACCTTATTTTATTAAATTTTTTTTCAATTAGTTAATATGGACAAAGGTTTCTGAGCTAGTTATCAGCTCTGCTGCATAGCTAAGTTAGCAGACCTGTCAGTTAGCTGCTGATGGGTGATTTTGCAGATTTCTGTCACTTCAGCAAAGAACTCTGTTGCTTTATCGACTTTTCTAACGAAATTGCTCAAAACTGTTAGTTTACACGTTATATCTGTTTAATAAATAATAAAAAAAAAGTCATTGTTTTCTCTGCCTTTGTCATATAACTGATGAAAATAATAACATAAGTATTATAATAAAATTGTCAGACCCTTTTTTTGGAAATATTTTTTCACGTAAATCAATAAATTTTGTGAAAAGTTTAAGTGTAAGGAAAATACAGTTGGAGACATAAAACAGATATAAAAAACACAAGAGCCTAAACCTTCAAATAAAGGCTAATGAAAGGTCAAAATATGTGATTAATCAAAAATTCAGGCATAAATGTAAGGAGAATATTTGTTGAAATTGAAAAGTGATGGAACTTGGATAAGTTAAATTCTACAATGTATTTAGAAAGGTTGTCCCATATCTGAAAAAGTTTTTTTTTTCATCCATACCATCAGATTCAGAAACTGTGTGACCGGGTCGCCTCCTCCACACTACTAGAAGATCGCAGAGATGCTGTTCGAGCTCTGAAGTCCCTCTCAAAGGTAAAGATTGGGTGAGAAATTCACTGAAAAGAGACGCACAATAATGATTAAAAGATTATACTTAGTTCAAATGTTGTCTTAAAACTGCATATTCCCTTTTTGTTAGTGTTATTGACACAGATCTAAAAAGTTTAAGTAGCTCAAATGTCGCTGATTTTGAGTTTTATTTTTCTAAATAAATAAGTTAATATGTTTGTCCTTGTTGGTGCTAATGAGATATGTGTTTTTTTTGTATCTGATTGTAAAGTGTCGACAAATTTAACAGAAATGTTTACTTTTTTGCAGAAATACCGCATGGAAGTTGGCACACAGGCAATGGATAACTTGATTAACATTTTGCAAACAGACAGGTATGTTGTGCCTCTAATATGTAGAAAGAATAATACAGAAGAATACAAGCTGCATACAACTAGGGATCAACTGATACGTGTTTTTAAAGTCGTAGGGAAGTCATATTTAAATGTCAAATCATTTTGGGTTAAACATGTATT